GGGGGGGAGGGAACGGGGCAGGGCCCTGGCCCCTCTAGGGGGCGCCGGCTCCCACCTGGACCCAGGGCGGGGACTGGCTGGCTCAGGGGGGCGGGGAATGGGGCAGGGGCCTGTCCCCTCTAGGGGGCGCCGGCTCCCACCTGGACCCAGGGCGGGGACTGGCTGGCTCAGGGGGGCGGGGAATGGGGCAGGGGCCTGTCCCCTCTAGGGGGCGCCGGCTCCCACATGGACCCAGGGCAGGGACTGGCTGGTTCAGGGGGGCAGGGAATGGGGCAGGGGCCTGTCCCCTCTGGGGGGCGCTGGCTCCCACCCAGCCCCAGGGTAGGGAGGGGGCTCCTGACTGCCACCTTCAGCGTCTCGATGGCTCTCTGGGTGTCCCAGCCGTGCAGCCTCAGCGCCTCGCGACACTCCTCCACCGTCACCCCGTGGACCTTCTCCTCCACCTGCGGCGGGACAAGCAGACGAGAGGCTGAGACCCTGCCGGGGAGGGACACCAGCCCCCCAGCCTCCGCCCCGCAGCCCCCCATTATGCCTGGGAGAGGGATGGTGTGTCAGGACTCCTGGGCTCTCTCCCCGGCTCTGGGAGGGAGTGAGGGCTGGTGGGTTAGAGCAGGGGGGGCTGGGAGCCAGGACTCCTGGGTTCTCTCCCTGGCGCTGGGAGGGGAGTGGGGGCTGGTGTGTTAGAACAGGGGGGGGCTGGGAGCCAGGACTCCTGGGTTCTTTCCTCAATCACTCACCTCTTTGATTTTCCACTCCATGTCACTGTTGCTGTTCTGCCCCCCACATGGGGGCCCCATGACCCCCTCTGCAGCCCTGTGGGCCCCCCCAGAGGCCCTGGTGCCCCCTGCCTCCCTCCTGTCCCTGGCCCCAGGATGCTGGAGTGGAGCATCAATCCTGCGGGGTAGGCAGGGCCGAGGGCCAGGCCGAGACTTTGGGGGCGTCTCCAGGGGCCGTAGCCCCATTTCCCCTGGCGAGCGAGAGGGTGGGTGGCCGACGTGACGAGGCAGGAACGCGAGATCATCACCCGGACGCCTGGGTTTCGCCCGAAGGACGCTGAAATCCGACACTGAGTCCAGACTCTTAGAGAGACCTAGGAAGGGGGAAAGGGAAACTGAGTCACAGTTGGACTCCGGAGTTCTCTCCACGGCTCTGGGAGGGGAGTGGGGGCTGGTGGGTTAGAGTGCGGGAGGGTCTGGGAGCCCGGACTCCTGGGTTCTCTCCCAGGCTCTGGGAGGGGAGTGGGGGCTGGGAGCCAGGACTCCTGGGTTCTCTCCCAG